TCAGCAAGCCTGTCCCAGATGCTGCTTTAATATCACATTTTCCCCACAGTTAATGTCAGCTGCAATTCATTAACTCTGCTATTGTCGCGCTGCCACGTTCCCACTGATGTCATATCATATGAAACCCAATTCAGAAATATGGAGGTCGATTTCATGACTGTGGATTTGCATGTTGATTAGATGTGAGGGGTCCACATTTCGTCTGAACATGGTGAAGCCAGATTAATTCATCAGATAATGGCTGGATGACACTGACCTCATCATGACGCGATTGAGATGATGTGCATGTTGTGCATTGATCACCTTGCGGTCACGGAAGCCGACTCTCGGTTTCTTTTTCTTTCCTTCTGTGCCTGCCTCGTCTTTCTCCTCCCCGCTACTCGACTCGAGAGCGCCATCTGACTCCGCCTCCTCCGCTATATCCTTCAAAGACTCCTCCTCCATCTGCTCCTCGTGCTTGACTGAAGACCCCGCCTCTGCATATGCTCTGCCAATCAGAAGAGAACATGCAGATCAGTCACACTGAAAAGTATACAGCAGTAAAACTGTAAACCGCCTGTCAAAAGTTTGGATTGATTAAAATTTTTTAATTTTTTAAAAGAAGCCTCTTATGCTCACCAAGGCTGCTTTTATTTTATGAAAAATACAGTAAAAAAACGTAATATTGTGAAATATTATTACAATTTAAAAGAACCGTTTTCTATATTAAAATATTTTTTAAATGTAATTTATTCCTGTGATGCAAAGCTGAATTTTCAGCATCATTACTTCAGTCGTAAGTGTCACATGATCCTTCAGAAATCATTCTGATATGCTTATCTATAATATCTACCAAACTGTGTACAATTTTTGTAATGTTTCCTTATACAATTCTTTTTAAGCAATCAGACCTACAATATCTGGTGGACGATATAACGAAAACCCCATAGATTACACTAAAAAGCAACACAAACCATATTTAGATATGCTGTTTTGGCTTGGTCCAACTAGTAACCACATAGCAATGTGCTAAAAAAACTACTCTGAACTCCTTAGCAACTGCATAGCAACACCCTGACGTGGTAGTGAGTTTTGCTTTAGGTAAACGTCTCTCACATTTCTTTTAAAAAATGTAAGTTTACTCATCATTACACATAAGAACCAACATTGTCAATGTGTATTTATCTCTCGAGGTGTGCCTCATACTAAAAGTCAATGAAGAGTGCTAGAAGGTCAATATCTTCAGGACAAAAAGCAGTAATTGAAAAAAGGCCTGTCGTTGTGTTGATGGGATGTGTGTTTGATCAATAAAATGAGGTTTGTTCAATAATTCAATATAATGAGAGAAAATGACTGCACAGACTGAGAACCGAAATGCCACCTCGTCCCATAACTCCGTCATTCTATAGATCACGTCCCAGATGCTTTTCTCTATATTGCTGACATATCATCTCCTCTATTCATACACACACACACTGCACTGGCCTTCGCCCAGACTGCAGATGAATCTCTGCAGATATGGGCTCTAAGGACACTTACGTTAAAGGTGAAATGTGTCATTTTTTCATATTACAATACTTTCTCCTATCCCAGTTTAATATGCAGACACAGCTATATGCAAGCCATTCATAGGGTGACTTCCCCAAAAACTCTGCAGGTGAATCTTACTAAACAAAGAATATCTTATGGTGTTATTTCTATGCATGCAACAATATAAAAATGCTGGCCTATACTGATAAAGCGATTAAAAAAAATTTAAAAATAAAAATAAAAACTTAAGCGCAGTAGAAAAAAAGGTGTATTTTTAAAGTAAATTTAGGCATCTCAACATAATAATGTACAGTATGAAAAATAGATATTCATTCATTAATGAATTAATCTGATAAATGGTTGTATTTGTTACACTGCCCTTAATTTACACACACACACACACACACACACACACACACACACACACACACACA